TTACTTCCACATTCTTGCTTTTTTAAAAAAGAATAAAGGGTGAGCTCATCCGTGTTTTTTGGTTGTTTGAAATTGTTAGGTAAGAATGAAGAACACCATGCAAATTGCACAGGTTGACGAGAATGTGAAAGGCTGGACAGTTTTGATTCAAGTTGTTGAGCGCAGCAACATATTTGTTAGTCAAAAGGATCAATCCATTTCTTACCGTCGATTTAAGTTTGCGGACTCTGAGGTGATGTGCATGATACATGATCCAACCCTCAATTTTGGCTATGAATCATTGTCCTCTAACGTATGATATTTGAGTTAACGTTGGCGGCTTATTTTTTCTTTAGGGCACGCAAGTTGGGGCAGTAGCGTATAACAGTAATCTTAGGGAATCCTCGCCTATGCTGCAGCTCTATAAGAGGTACTATATTTCGGGGGCTGCATTAAAGAGGGCAGACCCGAAATACATGGTTGGCTCTTATCCGTTCACATGGACAATCACCAACCACACTTTGATTCAACCTTGTGAGGATAAGCTGCCTGAGAAACTAGACTGTCACATTGACTGTGAGAAGTTTGGTAATTTGCATAGATTTGTGGACACCGAAGATCTGCAGCGTATGTTGTATCTCATTTTATAGTTATACAAATGAAGTATAAAATACTGATGTGCTCAAATGTTTTCTTCTCGTGCCTCTGCCGTATTTGTGCTGACTAGTGTGTGATGGTATGTTGTTGCGCAGATGTTCAGGGCGTCGTGGCACATGTTTTTCACATGAAAGATGTTGGAGTGGACGCGGTGAACAGAGACATTGTGTTGATCAATGAAGAGTAAGCCTTATCCTAACTTAAATATGATGGATGCTTTCTCGTCGGCTATTGTGGTGTTGTCGACGACAGTGTTTATATTGTAGGCTGGTGCCAATGATACTTACTCTGTGGAATGCCTTTGGTGAGATCGAAGGGTCACAACTAGCTGAAACCATCAACGCTGGAAATGTTGTTGTGGCTATGCGAGTGAAAGTCACTACGTTCCATGGTCTTTCATTGTCTACTAGAACCGAAAGCTCTATTCTCATCAATCCACCAACGCCCGATGCCGCTGCTCTAAAACAATGGTGGGTCATTTCAAATTGTACCTGTGACATACGACCTGTTGTGCCGCTTTAAAACTTAACATGTGGGACTTATGATTTCAGGTACTTGCAAAA